CCAAGTAACCACTCGCTCTTCTAGTCGATCCAACCTTTCACTTTTGTTTGAGTGTTGCCCTCATTTAGGGGATCATCATTACCACTAAGCATGCATTGTTAAGCGTGTGTTAAGCCAACCTATGCGTGATTCCCAGTGTGTCAATGGGTGTTTCAAAATTCAATAAGTAGTGTTAGTTAGAAATGTCATATGACAGTCTTACCTTGTGACGAGTGTGCATGTGGCTATGATGTGTCACTTCGAATATACTAAGCTCCGATTAATTTTCAATTGAATAACAAGTTCTGACTAGCAAGATCACGAGGTTTGAATTGTATCCATCAAGTGCTCCTATATTTCTTATGACCTTTTATAGAAGTATGTTATCAGATATTTATTAGGTTGGCTTCGTGATTTCGGAAGTGACTTTTTNCAAGCAAACCTATACGAGTCCAATGGTTTTCGTTGAACTGTCAAAACTAGGCCAAAAATAGGAGTCAATAAGAACTGGAGTAGGTCATTTTTTTAAATGTACAGACAAAGAAAGTTGATGCTTCTGATCTATCTTATTCCGAAGAAAGCCTAAGGGCACTGTTCCTAGCTGCTCTAGCACATGATCTTTTGACTCTTTTTTTTTTAACTAATGCTTTAGGGACAACTTATTTTATTGCTTTCTTACCCTTGAGTACAAAGTTCTTTCCTTTCGGATATTGCTTTCACCCCCTAATATTGAAGATTTTAATGAGTAGTCTACTTAGCTTGAAGTACCTGTTTTTAGCCTAGTATGTGGACGGAATCGCTTTCCAATTGATGAAGAGGTATTCTGTCATTAGCTAGCCTTCGAAGTACCTTTGTTTTGTCTGACCTAGATTTCTAAGATGATTTCCTCTAGGATGACGGAAAGAGATCAAAATTCTCTCTTTTGACAATGGTTGGATTTGACTTCAGTTAAAGTCATTTTTTAGGAGAAATAATCAATTGGTAGACCTTCGCTTGATGAATTCTATCGAATAAGACAAGGAGGATGATTGTCTAATTGTACCTGATCCTTCCATATCTAGCTATTTGAAATCTGACTCTCTTGAAATGGACCAAGTAACCACTCGCTCTTCTAGTCGATCCAACCTTTCACTTTTGTTTGAGTGTTGCCCTCATTTAGGGGATCATCATTACCACTAAGCATGCATTGTTAAGCGTGTGTTAAGCCAACCTATGCGTGATTCCCAGTGTGTCAATGGGTGTTTCAAAATTCAATAAGTAGTGTTAGTTAGAAATGTCATATGACAGTCTTACCTTGTGACGAGTGTGCATGTGGCTATGATGTGTCACTTCGAATATACTAAGCTCCGATTAATTTTCAATTGAATAACAAGTTCTGACTAGCAAGATCACGAGGTTTGAATTGTATCCATCAAGTGCTCCTATATTTCTTATGACCTTTTATAGAAGTATGTTATCAGATATTTATTAGGTTGGCTTCGTGATTTCGGAAGTGACTTTTTGACAGTTATTTTGATTTGATGTCTTTTCTTGGGTATTGAAAAGTCATTTTGGCGCCTTTTTAAAACCCAACGGCGGCTTATTTATATGCTATCTTTTCATACCACAGTTTCTGAGTTTCATTGTTGCCACATGCCGCGTCTCATGCCATCACTGGTCATTTGCACTCCCCTCCGTTGGATTGATTGGATCTTGTTCATTGCTTGTGGGTATATTTACCCATCTTCTATTTCTTCTCCACTTCTTCCCATTTGTAGTTTCTTTTTGTTTTGGGGTCTCCAGATTTCCTTCGTGGAGTACTTTTCTTAGAAAGCTCTTCTTCCCTTTTTTTTTTTGATTCCTTTATGAGCATTGATCCTATTATAGTTTATAGTGATAGTGATCCGGATAGCGTTACCAGTCCCTACAATCCTCTTGTGCCTCCTGGTAAGTTTCCTTGGGAAACCTCTAGCTTTAGGCAATTGCTTGTACAAGGTTCTCTTGTGGAAATTGTAGAAGCGATCTCCATTCATCATGGTTTTGATCATCCTTCCTTTTTGCTAGCAATGTCAAGAAAAATTAGTAAGGATAATAGAGTGAGTTTGTCTGACCCTAATGCGGACTTAGTTTGCTGGTATGGGGAAGGAGGGTTCTAAGCCTTCTCTTTCACCCTCAATCGATAGGTCCTCACACTGGGAGGCCCATGAGATAGAGTGTGGTTATACAAAGGATAATTTAGGGGCTCTAAAGTCATAGAATGGTCTTCCAAACTTCATCAGAGTACGTTGCCATCTACGTACGAACGAGCATGTTTCCCTTCGTATGGGAAAATGTGTTTCCCTGAGACCGCCCTCTAAGTCGGGCTACAGTTCTCGTCCTTTCTTTTATTGGGTCAGTGTTCTCCTGGTTAGGACTGTCTCCCTATTAGTTGGTCCCTAATGCTTAGAAGACCCTTACTGATCTGCTGGCTTTATGGAGACTTAGTGGCGGGGGAGGCTATTTTATATATTTAGAGGAGGTTGTCTACTGTTTCAAAGTGAAAAAGTGCAGCCAGAAGAGCAATTTTTACCTCAGCACTCAACATAGGGTGCCCGAACTTGTCTCGGGGCTCCTAGATTCAAATAAGACTGGAAGCCCTGGTTTTTCTACCTGTCAGGGGATTGGGAGTTAGGTCCAGATGTAGGACAGCCTGGAGATCGTGCGTCAGTGCCCTAAGTTTGGGGCATTTGGTCCCTTCTAGTGAGTTCCCTCTTGTAGGTCTTGTTTACATTTGCAATTTCGTTAGCCTTTTTACCCAGCGTGGATAGATCTCAATGAAGAGTTGTTGAAGCAAGTGAATAGTGAATAGTGTCGCAAAGTTTTCTTGTCATGACTTCTCGATTCTAATGGCTGAGGAAAGGTGCGAGTGTTTTTCCTTATACGCTTCTTTTAGAATCTTCAGGTCTACCTCTGGATAAGAAGGCTCTGATGGCTTTGAAGGCTAACTCTGTCCTTTGGAGGGGTGGCCTCCCTCCTTCGAAGAAGATCAAGCTCCCAAATGGGGGATTCTTACCTATCCCTGGGGCTGGTGGTTCTGGTGAAGTTCCTGGCGAAGTGGCCTCTATTGAGGTTGCTCCTATTAGGGGGAAGGCGATACGTTCGGTCGTGGATCTTTTGGAGAAGACTGGCAGGACAGTTTCTCATTTGACGAGCTCTAGCTTAGTTCGCCATCAGAAGACGCCAATTGAACTTAGGGTGTATCTCCTTTCTAGTCCCCTAGAGAGTTCAATGATCTAGGTATAGAGTAGGGTGACTAAGGAAGCCGTGGAAATGCTACAGGAACTGGGTCCTACTGAAATTCATGCCCAGGCTTGAGAGAAGATGATCAAAGTATGTTTGTATTGTTTTTCTTGACTTTCTTCCCTCTTCTCCTTACCTTTTGTCGTCCCTTTGCGTGAGTGGCCAAGCGGCAGTAACTCTTGTTTCAAAGCTCCATAAATCTGAGGCTTCTATGATGGCTAACCTTGATAAGAAAAGTTTCCTTCTTGAGAAGGTTATGAAGGAACAAGATGCTTTTTTCAAGAAGGTTGCTGATGTTGATAGCCAAGCATTTAAATCAACAGAGTTCTTGCTAAAGGAGATGGAACATGCTTCTAAGCTGGAGGAGAAGCTTTCCGAGTTGACCTTGGCCCTTAGTGAGAAGGATAAGGAGATCGTGGACAGGGAGGAAAAAGCAGTTACCAAATACAAGGATGGCGAGGATTTTCTTGGTGACTTGGGCCAATGCCACTCTATAGGATATGAGGTGTTTCGTGCTCATGCCATGGCCAAATTTCCGGACACCGACTTCAGCACGCCCCAAGTAGATGGCGAAGGTGCTAACATTGAAAAAGAGTGAAGGCCTCCTAGGAATTTTCTTATTTTTATGATGTTTTAACCTTGCGTTCTAATGTTTTCTATAAATTGTTGATGTTCCTAATTTTATATGTCCTTGGATACTGCTTTGATTTCCTGAGGCCTTTCCCTTTAATAATTTCTCATTAGTTTAAAGAGATCTAATCTCTAGCTCCTGAGGTCAGCTTATGGCTTTGTTTGGTATTCGAGGCTTTTGCCTTAGGTTTTACTAGTTTAAGGAGATCAAGTCTTAATTCTCCAAAGGAGGTCTAAGGATGGATCGTTCTTCCATTTGGAAATCGGGGCTCGGGAGATCTTTGACCTTTGGAGGATACTTTTGCTAAATGGTTGATAGGGAGATCGGCAACTGATTGTGGTCGTGCCCCCCTTGTCCCTTACCTTAATGTAAATCCTTTCCCCAGACTCCAGGGTCCATGACCTTGGACTCCGAGGTATATACCTCAGTGTTGATAGAGGTGTGCATGATTATGCTTTAAGGAGATCAAAAGTCAGGTCTTAGTCGTGCCCCTTACTCCTTCCGCTGGTTTAACTTGGGTGGACTTTTGCCTCGGTAGGAAAGCCTTGGCAGCCTAAAGTCTCGGTGGGCTTTTGGCAGCACGATCTTTCTGTAAATTACTGATCTCACAAGGAGCAGTAGCCCACTGCAGACCCCCAGTTGAGTTCCCATCCTGTTGAGCATTCCTCGATGTTAGATGCGTTGTAACTTCCCTTTAAGGCACCAAGTTGCACTCTATGGCTGTATGATGTTCAACTTATATGCTGGTTGTATAGCTTCTTGAATTCTTGATACATGGTTTCCAAATAGATATATTGGTATACAGCCTACTGGGCGCTTCCAACTTTTTTCCAAGCCAGGGGTAAGCTGGTCCCATCCCAGTGGGTTTTTAGGTTAATTAATTTAATTGAACTATCTTGCTTTAGGTAGTAGACTGCTCCACTTACCTGGTCTGATATCGAGGTTTGATGGTCGCAAATGCATGATTGATTATTTGTGCAGGTACACACACAGATGCGTGTGCGTGTGTTATGTCTGTTGTAGAAGATTGGTAGAAGTTCATTGGACAAACTATATGCTCATTTTTTACACTTAGGGAGCCTGACGAAGCAGAGTCAAGGTTGTAAACAAATAAAGTAGGAAAAATCAACCATAATGCTGCTTTATTGTTGCCCCGCATTGTTCTTGGAATCCAATTTGGTACATCGGCTACATGTGCTACAGAAACAAGTGAAAATACCAGTTCAACTCTGTCCTTGTACGCAAGAAGTTACAAATTAAATCACATGTTCATCACCAGTTGTTCTGACTTTGTACATCTTGGATTTTTTCTATATAATGTATAAAAACCATGAGAAGTCTTGCGGTCTATGAAATCGTAGCATTAGTATGGCAGCCGAGGCAAACCTCTTCTTAGCCATAGTTGGTAAGCAGTCATATAGAAGGCATCATAGCTTTTTGGCGTTGTATGCCATCGGAAGTGTCTCCTAACTATGCACAAGTTCTGGTACATGTTCAGGTATGCTTTTCTGGAGATTGACAACAATTTATTCTTCAAGAATGCAATGTCTCCTGGGCTGATAATAACCGAGAACTTGTTCCAGTCCAAAACATTAGCAAATGGAAGGTCATAATAATCAGATATTAACACAGGGATGCACCCATAATGTATAGCATCGCTGACCCTTGCAGTGTTCACCTCATAACCTTTCACGTGAAGGCAGTATCTGCTCCTCCTGAATCCTTCCTCATAAGGGAAAGATAGATTACCGGAGAATATGCCCATAGAACTATCATTTCCCCATGAAGCCATTAACTCTTTTCGAATAGGAGAGTTCTGCATGCGCCCAGCAAAGAATACAAGTTTGTTCCTGCAGTTAGACACCAATAACGATCAGAATCAGAATAATCTAAGACTGCAGAGTCCATAACACCAACTATAAATGTAGAATCTTCAAGGCTGTAATTGAGACTGGTAACAATGGCACCCATGTACAAACATGAATACAGTGCTCTACCCTCTAACGCACCTAAATCTCCCAACCATAACCTTTTCTCCACCGATATAGTAGAGTAGAAAACAAAGCAGCAGGCATATGAACACAAGCACATTCATACAAATATGGGCATGTAAAATTATTTATTGGAGAATACTTACACATTGATAAATTCATCTCTTATGACCCAACTGCTGGATATCGAATCATAATGGTCCTTACTACACAAACCTAACATTAGATAGATAACGACAGGTGCTCAATCCATCAATTCACCTTTCTAAAAAATATTCTAATATTGGCCAACTGCTTTAAATCTGCCATCAATTTCATATTTGGCATAGATAGCAGGCACGAAAAGGATAAACAATTAAATCTTAACGATACAGAATCCTTTTGCATCTTGTATATCTTGTATATCATTAACAATACAGGATCCATAAAATGTATGGATTTAGAGTATATCCAACATAAAAGTGCAACTTGAGTTCTATTACAAAGGTTTTATTAACAGAAAGCCCATAACTGCTTATGGAGGAAAAAGGTGATATTAATAGTTCACGTGTCAAACAAGAATAATCTGAAAAATTATTATCGACGTCAAAAGATACAAATTACCCATGTGCCACCGAATTAGTTGAATTCCTCAGCTCCAATTCTATCCTCTACTAATTTATCATGTAATGAACCTCCAAGTGTTACTCCCGCCATGAATAATTCAGTTGTTGTTGACTCTGAGCCTCCCATAGCAGTCAAAAAGAGTGTTCGAACTTATACTCAAAACATTCCATCTCTAATTTTATCTCTTAGGATTTCTTGTCTCCATTCTATCGTACTTTTATTTCTTCCTTGTCCTCTATGTCTATTCCTCGAGGTTGGAAAGAGACTCTCATTGATTCTAAATGGGAAGAAGCTATCGTAGAAGAAATGAAAGTATTGAAAAAGAATGACACATGGGAGTTGGTTCCTACTCCTCCTAGAGCAAGGGCAATAACGTGCAAATAAGTATTCACTATCAAACAACAAGCTGATGGGATAGTCAAGAGATACAAAGTCAAGTTGGTTGTTAAAGGATTTTCTCAGACAAATAGTATTGATTATCAAGAGATTTTTGCTCTTATGATAAAGATGAACCTCATATGAGATCTTCACTCTTGTGCAGCTAATTTGGAGTTGAGTTTGCAGTAGTTGGATGTGAAGAATGTCTTTCTTCACGGAGATTTAGAGAAGGATGTTATCATGGAGATTCCTCCAGGGATTTTTATCTCAAATAACTGAAGGAAAGGTGTGTAAACTGAAGAAATCTTTTTATGGATTGAAACAATCTCCCAGAGCTTGGTTTCATAGGTTCCTTAAAGTTATGTTGAAATTTAGATATAAAAAGTCATGTCGATCATTCCATGTTAATCAGGCAGGTTGATGACAAGATTATGATCCTCATTTTATATGTGGATGATATAGTGATACATAATTAATCAAATGTATTTTTTATCTCCCAAAGAAAGTATATTCTTAACCTTCTTGAAGAGATAGGATGTTGGATGCAAACCTACAGATTTTTCTATTGAAGTAAACCATGTAGTAAAAAAAGAAAGATACTAGAGGTTAGTGAAAAGATTAATATATCTCTCACATATTCGACAAGATATTGTTCATGCAGTGATGTTATTAGTCAATTAATGCATAATCCTCCAACTCCTCATCTTGAAGCGATTTATCGCATATTGAGGTATCTCAAGTCAGTTCCATGAACAGGAATCATGGTCCCCAATAATGGTCACTTGAAAATAGACGTGTGAGACCCGAACATGCATATTATGATATTTTATATAATGTCAAGGGTTAAAGTGTGATTTGTTAATAATAGTTATAGGGTAAAATAATAGGGGGTTTTCCTTTGTTAGAGATCCACAAACAACATTCTGGAACTTCCAAACCAAAGAAATGCAACATGAGGAGTTTTTTACACTTTAAATGAATGGATTTGGTAAGGGTAGAATACGCCCTATGGTCGATTGAAGGATATTTATTGAAAACATGGGAAAGGGAGCAATAATTTTGACAATAAATTTGGGGATTGAATTATAGGACAATGAAAAGTTGGGTGTGATTTATTAAGTGTCAAAACATTAAACGTGAATTAGGTGAATAGGGGAAACAAAAGGGGATCAAAATGTAATTAGGCAAAAGAGAGATGAGTCATGTGGCCACTTGGCATCTTTAGAAGCCCTTTAGAGTTGAAAGGGGAGTGGGAGAACACTCCTACATGCACCGGTTCCTAGCAGGTAGTGGAGGTAGATGAATTTTTGGAGTTCTCCAACTCCAGTGAATAATTCGGTAAAGGGGTTGGAAAAGTTCTTGCCCACTTGGAACTAAAACAACCTCTTCCTCTCCGAAACCCTCATAATTCTAGGTAGTTTCAAATCCTTAAGTTGCTTGGTGTGAAGTTGAAGCTTCAAGGATCTTAAGCCCTTCCCACTCAGAGGTTCTGACAGAATTCTGTTGAAGAAGACTTCCTTATGAGTAACTTCTCAATCTCTAATCTGGTAAGTTTTTAAAGCTTTTGTGTGTTAAGGGTTGGATAGTGGGAGTTGGAAAGTTCTTAGGGAGGAAGAGAATGGCTTTTGAGGGTGTTAAAACCGTGTTCTATGCTCACTGTTCATGCTTACGAAAGAACCAGTACAACCATGTTAAATTATGTTTTTGTTGTTAAGCCTCTGGTTCTCTATTGTCCATCTTCAAAGCTTTCCAAAAACATCAAATGAGTTCAAAACCACTCTTTTTAGATCAATGTGTCTACAACTACATGGCTTATGCACAAAACACGAACCTAGCTTGAGTAAGACAACTAATTATCAAACAAGCAGTTAAAGGTTTGTGTTGTATCACGTGGGAGGGAATTGGTAATGTGTTGGAATAAGTATGAACAAACATACATAGATGAACATTTGGGATGTAATGCATATACAATGAATATTCATATGTATTTGTTATGATATGTGTTAGGAGCCACATCGGCAATGACAATGTTTCATACACCTAAAGTCTCGTTTGGGAACTAATTATGAGTTTAATACGAATTCCAGGTGGGTGTGCTAATTCATATAATTGATTATGGCAAAAATATGCTTATTTATTTTTGATATACAATAAAGTGGAATATTGGATGATGATGATTGTTAAGAATATTAAGCTAGTATGTGTAGTTTGTTAATAGTGTTAGGATATTATGAGTAAATACAAGAGGGTGTACATCGAATTCTTATTATTGTGCGTTAACTATAAATACAAGTAATGTATGAAAGTTAAGTTAAGTTTTCAACCTCTCCCTTTCTCCCTAATATTGTCTCTAGTATTGTGTTGTGTTAATTCTCTCAAACTTAACATGGTATCAGAGCACAACCAATACAAATTTTAACTATTCTGATTCGCAGTTGTGTGAATATTGTCATTGTAATTACTGCCAGAGTTCATGGTGGTGTTATGTTGTCCATCGTGGTCTTGTCTAGTGGTGGTGGTAACCGATTGGTGTGGTTGACGTTGTGTTGTTCATCGAGTTTTGCTTTGGTGGTGTAGTCGACTGGTTCTGCTTCGGTGGCGTAGTCGACCGGTTGTTCTTGGCGTTAGGTTGGTGTGGCTGCTAGTTATTGGCTATCGATGTTGCGCTGCTCGTCGACTGGTGTTTGTTGGTTGTTCATCGCCGTCACCGTTGAAGGAGCATTGGGCTCATTGGTGAAGAAAACAACCCACTTGAACTAGGTCAGTTGCGGGGTTGGGTAACAGATCCAAATCTAGATTCAAGCCCAGCCTAGATTCCAAGTCCAGATCGATTTGGTTCAATCCAATAGCCTCAGACCAGACTGATTCAAGTCCAGGTCAGTGAGTTTAAACCGGTTCAGTTCCGGTTCAATCAGTTTTAGACCGGTTCCATCTGTGAGGAGATGAAGACCTACAATCCGTTTACTACTGATATAACAATTTGGCAAAAGCAATATGAAGACATGAATGTTGTTAGATTTTTGGTAAGATTGAAACCTAAATATGAGGCTATTCGTTCTCAGATTTTGGGTAGTCCTAATCTTCCCTCACTACTTGAGGTTTTCTCTCGTGTACAGTGTGCTACTTTGTCTACTCTAGGCATCGATCATGGTGTCTCCACTAATCGCACAGCTCTTGTGGTTCCTAGTAGCCACAGTAATGGACATCGAGAAGGTCGTACAGGAGGTCGTATGGGTGGTCATGGGGTCATAATGGATCTCGTTCCTGTACTCACTGTGGCCGTAGGGGGCACACTGTTGATTTCTATTGGGATTTACGTGGAAAACCTTCTGGTGTTGCAAATCAGACTTCCTATCAAGATGATACCTCTATTGTTGCTTCTATACCTCGATCAGCTCCATCAGACACTAGGACGGTTACTATTACACGAGAAGAGTATGCTCAGTTCCTATCCCAACAACAAGCTGTCCCATCTCCCTCCAATGCTACTTTTGCCTAGTCAAGTATTACTTCTATTTATTTATTATCCTCCACTCACAGTCTCTGGATCATAGACTCTTAACACTTTTAACCACATGACTGGTGCGTCTAATATTTTTTTTACTTATCAGTCTGCTACTTCCACACGTAGCATTACTCTTGCTACTGGTACTTGTTCTAAAGTTTCAGGTCTAGGGACTACTCACTTGAGTCCTGACATGTCCCTATCTTCCGTGTTATTTGTTCCTCAATTTTCTTTTAGTTTACTTTCCATTAATAAGATTATCCGTTCTCTCAATTGTTCTGTAACCTTTTATTCCTCTTATTGTGTCTTTTAGGATCTCAAAACGAAGAGAAAGATTGATACAGAATATAAAATTGGTAGCCTATATTACTTT